CAGGCTAAAGAAATATCACTGGGAAATCTTTCCTCCAAATGGCATGGTTACAGTCGGTTGCTAATCTATTCGAGACATTTCTGGAGCTCTTTGACGAACCAGAGAATGCTTCACTTTCTGAAGCTGGTGCAGCAGATAACAAAGTTGATCACATGGAGCAGATTGTTGAAGATGCTGCAAGGAGAATGTATGAAGAAGAATCAATCTGTAACGACTCTCCTTCCAACGAAGCTCAATCGAGGGGAGCCAAGTGCTCAAGTCGAGGGGGAGCCATGCACACAAGTCGAAGGGGAGCCATGCACACAAGTCGAAGGGGAGCCATGCACACAAGTCGAGGGGGAGCCAAACGCTCAAGTCCAGGGGGAGCCAAATTCCACAACTTCAACCGAAGAGGTCTCAACACCAGCAAGCTCAGGTCCACTAGAATCACACGAACCTCATATCTTCCAAAGTACACCAACTGAGGAAACATGACGATGTGACACTCGGTTATGATAGCCAATCTGAACTAGAAGAAATAATCAATGCCGACTTAGACCCAACCGTTGATCCAAATTACCCTCCTCTTATCAAATGGACCAGAGATCATCCTGTTCTCTCAGGTAGTTGGGGATGTATCTGAAAAGGTTCTGACCGATCACAACTGAAGGCAAAACAGACTTCCTTATTTTCAAAGTAGAGTTTTGCATGTTCAATTCATTCGTATCAAAAGTTGAAACCAAAGACAGTTAACACTGCTCTCGACCCACTCTGATGGGTTCAAGCAATGCAAGACGAGTTGAACGAATTTGAAAGAAACAAAGTCTGGCGCCTAATTCCAACTCCTCCAGATGCTTCGGTTGTTGGTCTCAAATGGGTCTTTAGGAACAAAATGGACAAGGAAGGTAATGTTATACGGAACAAGGCTCGTCTGGTGGTCAAGGGATATTGTCAAGAGGAAGGATAGACTACGAAGAGACTTTCGCTCCAGTAGCTCGGCTAGAATCTGTTAGAATATTCCTAGCTTATGCTGCTCACAAGAACTTTGAAGTTTTCCAAATGGACGTCAAGTGTGCATTTCTCAATGGAGAACTTGAAGAGACGGTGTACGTAGAGCAACCTCCTGATTCGTGAA